CACCCCAAAACCCCAAAACCCCAAAACCCCTAGAAACTGTCACGCGATTGAAATTAGGAAAAATAGGTCAAAAAGATAAAATAATAAAGATGTTGAAGGAAAAAGCCAAATCTAAGTACAAAGATCACGAAGAGACTCTAGACCACCTTCTGGCTACACAGGAGTACATCATTGACTCTAGCAACTTCTTCATTGACTCTTTGAAGCTGGAGAAGGAGCTCAAGCTTGAAGAATCGAGGAGATTGATGGGGAAATCAGCTAAAATGAAAGAACTAGCGACTGAGGAGACCAATGTTTGTTCAGATTTTATTAAGATAATACAGCTTTTTGCTAATTGTTATGAATCTACAGGTAGGGAAGCCCTCAAAAACTATACTAAGTTCCAGGAGAATGCAAGTTACTATGACCTTGAGACATTGAGCCAAGGTATAAAGGAATCGAAGCACAAGACAAAGAAGGAATCTATTATGGATAAACTGGCTCCATTGTCTAAAATGCGAAATTCCCGGTCCAAGAAACAGTACCAATATGAGACTGCTATCCAAGCAGCCGAGGAGGCTCTGAAGAAGGCCCATTCAGTACTTAATGACCCTTCCAAGGCCTACGAGTACACTAAGAAAGAGGTCGCCCAAGAGAAGGCAGTAAATGCACTTCGAAATCTTGATGAAGCAAAAATAAAACTTAAGAACCACATGGAGATGCTCAATGAGTACCAGAAGACCTGCATCGATATCATGAAGGACCTTATGATCAAAACTGACCAGTCTGTGGATACCTACACCAGGAGTGTTTTGACCCTCTGGATTCTTGAGCTGAACAACTATGAAGACAACATGAATTCTGTGGAAAATGTCTTGATGATTCCAGAGTTCATGGAGTACAATTCAACTCCAATCGTGGATAAGAAGATGACAACCAGCTCTACCAAGCTCAAGCTGATCAAGGATCATCTTGAGGACTCTGGTGAAATCAACATCGATACTCTCAAGGAGTACAAGGAGTACATTTTTACCTTTATTAAGAATGAGAAAGACGAATTCGAACAGACGTACTATCTAATCCACCAATTCAAGATTTATCTGCAGTTGCTCATCTCAGTCAAGGAAGCTGCAAATAAGAAGTTAGAGAAGCTGATCAAAAATGCTAAGAAGAAGGTTGGCTCAGGAAGTGCTAGGTACGTTATTTTTCTCCAAATTCAGGTTATTTCACCAACATATTAGATTAGGCCTTGGTTTGGAACCCATATCTGATAAATTTTCGGGCGATCAAGAGGTAAACTTGTCATCGCCGTAGCTTCCAAGCTTCCTGTGTAGTCTGATGCTGTGTATAGTTATTACAACTACGAGTTTCCAATTGTTGAAATTTGGGAACTTCTATTGTACAAATATGGGAAGATGATCAAGAGCAATGTTGCGTATATCAAGTTCTTAAAGGAACTGAAGCCAACTTGTGAGGAGATCCTTAAAAACTTCCAGATCAACTCAAAGTCGAACTACAAGACAGTCTGCAACCTCTACGGTAAGTCTTGCCTGTTGATGACTAGAGACCGAGAACTTGTACTTGGAGTACGACGATGACATTGATTATGAGAAGGAATGAATGGTTAAGTTGTGTAACTCCTTGTTCATATTCATGCATGAAAGTTTCCCCAACTGCAAGACATTCATCAAATCCATACATGAATGTCTGTCTGATTTAGTAGCATACCAGGCAGTCACTATTAATCAAGAGATGGATATCGTCAAGAAACAAAGATGTTTCCTCCAGAATTATGATGAAAATACAAAGAAGTTCAGGACTCCGGAGGAAACTGTAGACTCGAAGGTCACTTCAATCTCCTTCTTGGGTGATTTCGATCTCATTCCGGAGTATATAGAGGAAGAAAGCAAGGCAAAGAGCGACGAAGAAGGCAGGCCAAAGAGCGAGGAGGTCAAAATGCCTGCTTATAAAGAGAAAGACCGGTCTCGTACGGATTCAGACTATGGTGATGGTATCTCTAAAATATCTGATGACAACTCTAATGGTAACAGTGAGTCAGGCACTGGTGCTGACAAGGACCAATCCTCAGTCACAATCTGCAAGAAAGGTAAGGCTCTTCAGCTGATTTCTAGAGGAAATCTTGAAGATGAAGGACAGGATCAAGCCTTCACAGACTGTTATTGATGACTTGAATAAAGAATCAGCGTTATACCAGATCGTCGAGTTCTTCGAAATCAAAAATGATTACATCCAGGAAGAACGTAAGCAATATGAAGAATCTTTGGCCAAACACTGAAAGGATGATGATGCCAAGTGCAGTACATTTGAGAAGCGGTTCGGCCTCGAAGAGGACGAGAAAATGATCGATAGCTTCTCTTGTGCTCTGTACAAGAAGATCATCCTCCATGGTCGCTTATATATCACGAACAAGAGGCTATGCTTCTTTTCGATATTTAATAATAAGCTTTTGTTTTTCGGGAAGGACACGAAATTAACAATTCCATTTGAAGATATCAGAGGACTAGAGAAACGAATCAACGCCTTGGTGTTTGATAACTCTATAGCTGTTCTCACCAAGAGTAATAAGGAGCTGTTCTTCACTTCCTTCCTGCTAAGAGATAAGGCCTTCAAGGTCATCACTGAGACTATAGGGAAAGAATGAGATTTATGCATAAATGGACTGAATCCAAATTTCCAAAGAGCATTTGTGTGTGTTGAAAAAGAGGAAAATAAAGGTAAGTCTCATCCTTGAAGTTGTCCTAACTTTCTAGATCTTGAAGAAGAGGAAGAAGAGAGCGATGAAGAGGAGAAAGTTGCAGCCTTACCTCCTAATGCTTCACTTCTCGATAACTCCATCAACTTTGATGAGGTGTTCGAGAATAATATGGCAAATGTGCTTAAATTAGATTTAAAGTCAACAGAAAATCGTAAAATGCTTGAGGAATTCTGAAAAGAATGAGACTCTAAGATTGAGTCTGTCGATGATGAGCTTGACCCAAAGTGTCATAAAGATTACGAGCTCATCACTGAACAAGTGTTTGAAGACGTATCGATACAATGCATCTACAACAACATCTTCGGGCCAAAAAGGTATAAGGATAAGGAATATGCCTTCTGGGCCCATTTCCTTCAAGAAATTGGCAATACAGCAATGACAGTAGGATTTACAGGCTAAATAATCTAGATCCCGACTGATTTTGTCCCAGACCCTCCAACTTACTTCACTGATGACTCGAAGATAGTCGAGAATTACTCAGTCGAGGAGCTTAAGGAGATATTTAGTGAGATTGAGCAGTCAGTGTATGCCATGAAGTTCACACATCCATTGAAGCAGGCTCTGGGGCCAAAAGAGTGTTCTATTCAGGAGAACCAGACGCATTACTTTGTGTCCCCTATAAAGTTCATCATAACTAAGAAAAGTAAGTTCTTTCAGCTTTCTGGTCACTAAACCTGTCATGCTTATTTCGATATAGTTGACCAGTCGGGCTTTCCCTTCTGCGACTGCTTCGTTCCAACCTATCTGATATAATTTGTGAACAGCTGTACGACAAGAGGAAGAACAGGTTGAGCGTCAACATGAAATACTATCTGAGGGTAAACTTCCTCAAAAGTGTCATGTTCTTCAAGAAGAAGATCATCACTGAAGCTAGGAAGGAGTCTATTACGACTATGAGGGATGACCTAGCCACTATGGCCAGGGCCCACTTGGCTCAGTTCCAGCCTCAGTTTGTCAGGCCACTTCCTAAGACGAAGAGGAAGTTGACCAAGATCGGCAAGATCAAGCTGCAGATGGAAGATCTTGAAGTTGAGCATGAAGAGAGGATGACTAGTCTGAAGAAGGATTATGATGATAAGATTAAGAATAGCGCTGAAGAGCTGGAGAAAGCTAAAGAAGAATTTGAGCAGATTATGTTGAAGGTCAAGATCGCAGCTGGAGTAGTGGGCTTGGTCTTGGTCCTGATTTTGTTATATTTAATGATCTAGTGAGGTTTTGAGAACTTTGAGGGTTTTTGGGGTTGGGAGGGCGCTAAGGAGGTTTTGAAGGGTTGGATTGATGAGGAGGTCGAAAAGAGAGTTGGGTTGGAAATATGCTTTTTGGGATTTTTTGATAAGAAGGAGTTTGGGAAGGATCTGAGACTGTCTAGATTTTTATATTTTATTTATTTATTTTTGAACATTGTTGCGATTATATTTATCTTATCGGGCGAAAATTTTTCGCATCGATAATTTCCTAATAAGATTCATATAAAAACTAAACCTTGTCTACCACCTACCTCTTATCATAACATCACATTCCAACTCAAATTTCTCGCTCAAATCCCAAATATCTCTTCATCTAACTTCAGAAAAGGCCAATATTTGAATTCAATACCTTCCTCATCAATTGGGGTTTTGGGGTTTTGGGGTTTTGGGGTTTTGGGGTTTTGGGG